TCCTCGCGGCGGCTCTTCCGCTCCAGCTTCTTCTTCGCCTTCTCCTCACGACGACGCTCGGCCCCACGGCGCTCTTCATCCCTGCCCCATAGATTTGTGACCCATAGATCCTGACCCATAGATCAGCCCTGCCCCATAGATCCCATGGATTCCATGGATCCTGACCCACAGATCCCATCCTGCCCCATAGATCCCGGAGATCAGCCCTGCCCCATAGATCCCATTGATCCCATCCTGACCCATAGATCTGGGGTCATTCCTGCCCCATAGATCCATCCTGACCCATAGATCCCATAAATCCCATAGATCCCATCCTGCCCCAAAGATTCCATCCTGCCCCATAGATCCCATGGATTCTATGGATCCTGACCCATAGATCATCCCTGCCCCATAGATCCCATGGATTCCATGAATCTTGACCCACAGATTCTATCCTGCCCCATAGATCCCATAAATCCCCTGGATCTGCCCCACAGCCACTGCTCCGCCCCATGGCACTCCTCGTCCCTATGGGGCAGCCCCATAGATCCATCCTGACCCATAGATCCTGACCCACAGATCAGCCTTGCCCCATAGATCCCAAAAATCCATCCTGCCCCATAGATCCATCCTGACCCACAGATCTTGACCCAGAGATCCATCCTGACCCAGAGATTCCATCCTGCCCCACAGCTGCTGCTCCGCCCCATGGCGCTCCTCGTCGCTGTGGGGCAGCCCCAGAGATCAGCTGTGACCCATAGATCCTGACCCACAGTCAGCCCTGCCCCATAGATCCCAAAAATCCTGCCCCATAGATCCCATCCTGCCCCACAGCTGCTGCTCCGCCCCACAGCGCTCCTCGTCGCTATGGGGCAGCCCCAGAGATCTGTGACCCATAGATCCATCCTGCCCCATAGATCCCATGGATCTGCCCCATAGATCCCATCCTGCCCCATAAACCCTGACTCATAGATCCCATGGATCCCATCCTGCCCGATACACCCCATAGATCCCACCCTGCCCCATAGATCCCATCCTGCCCCACAGATCCCAAAAATCCCCTGGATCTGCCCCATAGATCTCATCCTGCCCCATAGATCCCATGAATCCCAGAGATCCATCCCTGCCCCATAGATCCCAAAAATCCCCTGGATCTGCCCCATAGATCCCATCCTGCCCCATAGAACCCATAGATCCCATGGATCTGCCCCATAGATCCCATCCTGCCCCAGAGATCCCATCCTGCCCCAGAGACCTCATCCTGCCCCAGAGATCCTACCCCATAGATCCCAAAAATCCCACAGACCCCATGGATCTACCTCATAGATCCCAGAAATTCCATCCTGCCCCATCGATCCCATCCTGCCCCATAGATCCCATGGATCTGCCCCATAGATCCCAGAAATCCCATCCTGCCCCAGAGATCCCATCCTGCCCCACAGATCTGTGACCCAGAGATCCCAACCCACAGATCCCATCCTGTGACCCACAGATCCTGCTCCGTAGATCCTGCCCCATAGATCCCCCAGATCCCATGGATCTGCCCCATAAATACCATCCTGTCCCATAAGTCCCCCCCTCCAGCCCCATAAGTCCCTCCTCCAGCCCCACATCTCCCCCGTTCCCGCACTTTTTGAGGAATTTGGAGGCCAGGGAGGTGAATTTTCC